ATGGTATGGTATGGTATGGTATGGTATGGTATGGTATGGTATGGTATTGTATTAGGTTAGGAAAGGTCCTCCTTCATATAAGGGTGAATTTTGCTGACTAGATCTTGTGCATCATTTTACAATAACAGTGTTATCACCTCCTCTTCCAAAGGGTTGTCTTGGTGGAGGTTTGATAGGGTTGATAAGAAGTCCAATTTAGGACTGATCACACACAATCTCTTATTTTTAGAAAGGTGGAATTTTTATATCACCATGGAAAATATTTTTTCAGGTAATAAGAGATTTAAATGTTGTGGTCTTTTTTTTGTTCCTTTTTAAATGAAAGCAATTAATACAACTATATGAAAATGTTGCATTTCTTTTTGCCATTTAGATGTAATTTAAGAAGAGTTAGTTAATAATAACCCACCCAAATCTATGCTTATGCACATTTAAACATATGTGTGCACTTAAACACACAGAAGTATCAACCGTGTGCCTACAGAAGAAGCCCTCTGCATCTAGAAGGATCTACGGAGTCAGCATGTGGACTATTGCTGACAAGAGAGTCAGTTCTATTTTTAACCTTGTTTTTGTCTTTTCCTCTCTAAAACTGATGTGTCCAGGCAATATATGGCGAACAAACGATGGCTTCATTAACTCAGGATTAACAATCTCTAAATCAAAACAAACAGTAAGTCAAAACAAATAGTAATCGCTCACAACATAGGCATTATAACCGGAGTAGAGCAATGAGAGACTTGAAATCTCAGTAGCCATAAGGATGAGAGCCAAGAGCTTACTAACAGTGTAGGGGGTTTTACCGCTACAACACGCGGTAAAGCTCCTCAAGTTGACTGGTTCTGTTTGCCTCAGTGGTTGGAAAATCAGATCTCAGAAACCATGGTTCCTGGAGACAAGAACCAGCAAGAGGAAAGAATTCCTCTCTGCAGCCAAAGCATAGATTTTCAGATAGTGAAGCAGGAATGAATCCCCCTGTAGCAGCAGGTGGAGTCTTGGGAGCTAAAGTAGTGGGAGCGCAACTAAGTTCTCTGAATGACACGGGAGTTTCGGGGCTCTGAAATCCCCCAAAGAGACTGTGTCTGGTGTATCTGGAAGACAATTTTTCTCTTTCTACTCTGGATGATGAGTCTTACTGTCCAAAATGTGCATACATTCTTATATAGAGAGAGTTGGGTTCTGATTAGGTAATTCGGAATAAATACAGAAAAATCAGCTATGAGTTGTTAGGCTTAGACAGGGATGAGAAGATAGCTGATCGACGCGAAGAATGTTTATAATCAGATCCTTGAGGTTGGTAGGAAGTGGGTATTTAGCTGTTGGTTTCCAGCTGCTGTGGGACATTCTGATCAGATCACTCTCGTCTTCTTTTCCTGTTGCCATCTCTGCAGCTCATTTTTAGGGTATTTTCAGGCTGCAGCCTGTTCCTTGCCCTTATGTGTTTCAGGACTCTCCATGTCAGTTTCTGTCTTGCTGTGGTTTCACATTTCCTTCCAGGTTGCTACTTCTCTGACAACTGAGACCATCCAGTCCTGGTGGCAGGCTGTCAGATGCAACCTGCCATCACTGGCTCCTTTCCCTGATGCCTGAATTCCCAGCTCTGACTCCGGAATCCCTTCCTCCCCAATAACTGATATTGCTACGACATAACCTAACATTTATGGCATAATATCATTTTAGGAGATCATCTACTTAGGACTCCGAGGAACAATCGTTTTAAGTATTGCTGTCTCTCTCTGGTATCCAGATGAATAGATTTGCTCTGACCCCTGCAAGAACAAAGGTCAATATGGACTTGAACGATAATAATTACTTCAGAGTAAGGTGATAATTGTCTTGTGGTTGAAAATGGTGTCTGTTAAAGAGATCAGAGATGATAAAACTGGCTAACTAAGCCAGTATCAGATGATAAAGAGGTGAATTCCATGTTGTAATTGTTGAACTTTAGGTAAATGAGATGTCAGTGAAGGCTTTTACATAGGAACTAATGTGATCTAGTTTGATTTTCCATGAGGTAGGAGTAGTGGCATTTTTTTTTTTTTTTGCTCCTCTCATTGATTGGCGTTGAGTCCCTGCTGTAATATTCATGCTTTTTCATACTGCTGACAGTATTTGAGTCAGTGGTTAGCCACTGTATAGGTCCTAATGGTGTTGGTTCTCAGTCTGGTTGTCTGGTAAACAGCATAATGTATTTGATCAAAGTGCAGTGCTCCATATCACACTGTCAAGAGCCAAATTGATCCGTCTGCAGCTATCGCCTTCCCTGTGGGGCAACAACTGAACAACTCTGCAAAACGTTAGCTTGTATTGCTGATCCATCCCCCTCTCTATCTCAGTCGCTGTGCTTTAGCACGGAAGCTCACATCTTATCTGGTAATCAGCTTCTGTCTCCTGCACAAACATGTCTGTTTGCACAAAATTTTTTTTAATTGGATATTTTCTTTAATTACATTTCAAATGTTATACCCTTTCCCGGTTTCCCCTTCAGGAAACCCCCATCTCATCTCCCTTCCCCCTACTTCTATGAGGGTGTTCTCCCCACCCACCAACCCACTCCCGCCTCCCTGCCGCGGCATTCCCCTACACTGGGGCATTGAGCCTTCACAGGGGCAAGGACCTCTCCTCCCATTGATGTCCAACAAGGCCATCCTCTGCTACATATGGAGTTGGAGCCATGGGTCCGTCCATATGTGCTCCTTGGTTGGTGGCTTAGTCTCTGGGAGCTCTGGAAAGTCTGGTTGGTTGATATTATTGTTCTTCCTATGGGTTCCAAACCTCTTCAGTTCCTTCAGTCCTTTATCTAACTCTTTCATTGGGGACCCTGTCCTCAGTCCAGTGGTTGGTTGCAAGCATCTGCCTCTTTATTTGTCAGGCTCTGGCAAAGCCTCTCAGGAGACAGCTATATCAGGCTCCTGTCAACAAGCACTTCTTGCCATCAGTAATAATGTCTCGGTTTGGTGACTGTATATGGATGCATTCCCAGGTGGGGCAGTCTCTGGATGGCATTTCCTTCAGTCTCCACACTTTGTCTCCGTATTTCTTCCCATGAGTATTTTGCCTCCACTTCTTCTTTTTTTTTTAATATTTCAAACCAATTTATTTCTTTTTTTAAACCTTTTCACCTCTCTTTTTCTTTTTTTTTCTTTTTTTTTAATTTCTTTTTTCTTTTGAACATGAAATGCTTTTTTATAGCATTTTTTCTTTCCAAAATTGACATCTTGCCTCCAATATATCTTTTGAGAAGCAGGGATCACCCTGTTGCTCCCTGCTGTCTGTGACTTGCAGTATTTGCTTCCCCCCTTGTTGATGACTGGCCTTGTTAGCATCATGATAAGAGGTTCTGACCATGCCTATCAGGTTACAGACACTATGCTGAGATCCCCTTGCCAGTTGGCTAGCTATTTCACTTAATTGGTTCACAGCATTGTTTTCAGAATACCTTGCTGGGCCAGCTTACAAAATGCCCATCTCAGGCTTCCTTGAGGATATCTCTCCTCGGAATGGAAAACAAAGTCAAATTCTCTGAGGATGAGTGGTACTTTTAATGTTCATCCTTGATCTGCATATCTTTTGCTTATGACCACAGATTCTGTTTATGGTGGAAGGAGAGACCAACATCCCAAAAGGTTTCCTCTTAGCTCTTACATATATGCATGTATTTGGGACTCATGGACATACACAAATATATATATCAATTATCAAAATAAATTAATTCTAGCGGCTGGGGAGATTGTTCACTGGTCAGGAGCATGGCTGCTTCTCCAGAGTACCTGGGTTTGATTTTCAGCATCCACATTTTAGCTCATAAACCTTCCGTAACTCCAGCTACTTCAGTTTCAGTTTCAGTTTCAGGAGATCCAGGTCCCTCTTCTGTTCTCTGTAGGCTGATCACATGTATGGGGCATAGACATACAACCAAGCAAAAAATTCATGCACATCAAATTAAAAAATTAAAATATATTTTAAAACAATAGGAAGGGTTATTTAATGCCGAGTGTCATTTCTGAACATTAAATAAAGTTAGCTACATACTACAGAAAAACACCTAATACATAGGTGTTTCATTATCTCTTGAAACTCAGCTTAGAAGTCTAATGACATTTAGATTGTTTCCATTGTAGGAATGTTTCTGAAATCATGCATGGATTTTTAATTTTGCTTATTCAGTGATTTTAAGTCAGGCATTGTGGCACATACCTATAAATACTAACACTCATGGAGGCTAAGGTAAGATGACCATGAACTAGAGTCTGGCTTGAGCTACAAAGTGGGTTTCAAGCCAACCTAGGTTACACAGCTAGACCCTATCTCCAATCAAAATTAAAAAAATAAAATAAAATAAAATTACTTCAGAGATTTCACTGAGATTCTATAGTATTTTTCCCAATCCTTCCCTTTAACCACTGAAAGAGTGAAATGAATCCTTTAAATCAGAAGTTGTTCTTTTTCTCCCAAAATCTGCTATCGCCAAGGAAAGCCTACTATTTACATATTAGCATTTTTGGATCTGCCTGCATATCTCTTGTTTCTCTTATTTTTGTTTGCTTATGACATTTCTTTCACACTTCATTTTCTTAGAAGTCTTCCTGATTTCAATCATTGTTTTCTTAGTTAACTTGGTAAAATGGTATCAGCATATGCTTCTAGAAGAAGCACTGTGGCAAGTTTCACTTTTTTTAGTTTAACTTTTTGAGATTTAATATATGAATAGTACTGCATTAAATCATTTATACCTCTTCTTCTTTCCTACTGAATTTCCTGAAATTCTGTCAAAATCATTACCTCCTTTAAATTTATTTCTACATATACATATATGCATACACAGACATACAATTGTGTATATATGTCTATATACATGTATATATATGTACATATACACATGTAGAAATATATACATATATTTGTGTGTTTGTGTAGAAATAAGTTAAAAAGAGGTAAAGAATTTGACAGGAATTGGAGAAATGTATTAGGAATTTGTATATGTGCATGTGTGTGCGTGTGTGCCTCTGTGTGTGTGTATGTATGTATGTGTGTTGTATAGGCATACATACATATATTTAAATAAAGGCTGATGAGTCTGGTGTATTGCTTTGTATGTGTTTTAGGGATGACTACTTGCAGTTACATAACGTATCAGGGAGCATGTGCCCAGAAAGGTTATATTCTCTCTCTCCGGACATCATTTACTACCTTTAACTCTTTGTTTTGCAGTAGGACCTTGTGGAGTTTTCTCTATTCACATTTGCATGTCAGTAGCACTTGTCATTGTGTATGTCTTGTTTAAGCAGCCATAGTTTTGAGATTTCATGACTGCAGCTTTTCTGTCATCTTTAGAATACATTCTCTCACTACAGATGACCCAGTTGTCTGCCTTTTGCAACCTTTCTATCCCTCTTCCATGATGTTCCCTGAGCCTAAAGTAGGATGCATGCTGTAGATGTATCCATTAGGATTGGTCACCCACAGTGAGTTAGAACTACTGCCCTCCACTTCTCTTCCTCTGTAATATTTGTATATTTTGGAGGTTCCTTGTCATTTGATTTTCTTAAATGTCTGTATAATCTCAGTCATTGTTTTAATTTCATTTACTGGGTGATGTCAGCATAAGTGCTTCTACTTTAAAGTCTCACCAATAGTGAATATGGCTCTTTTTCCCCATATCCTCTCTAGCATGTCTTGCCAGATGTTTACTTGATTGTAATCATATTGACTGGGATAAGATGAAATCTCAGAATATTTTTAATTCCCATTTCTCTAATTACTAAAGATGTTAAAGACAATGTTTCAAATATATTTATTTATGTATTTATATATGTATGTATGTATGTATGTATGTATGATGTATGTATGTATTTATCTATCTCGTACATGCCTGTGTGCCTGCATGAATTTTTTTGCACCACGTGCATGCAAGTACACATGGAGTCCAGAAGAAGGTGCTGGTTCCAGTGGAGCTGGAATTATCAGAGGTTGTTATGTGCCTCATGTGGGTGCTGGAAACCAAAACAAGGTTCTCAAAAAGAGCACTAAGTGTTCTCAACTGCTAAGCTCTACTCCAAGGCACTATTGAACATTTTAAATATATTTCTTAGCCATTTTCATTTCTTCTTTTGAGAAATAATTCTTCTGATATATAGCCAGCTCTTTAATTGGGTCATTTGTTTTCTTGACATTTTGAAAATTATTTATATATGCTGGGTATTAATCATCTGTCAAATGTATAGTTGGCAAAGATTCTCTCCCACTCTTTGGGCTTCTGCTTTGTTAAACTAATTGTTTCATTTTTCTGAGGAACAGTTGTCGATTATTGGCCTTAATTACTCAGAAAATGGAACCCTACTTAGAAATCCCTTTCTTATTCTTATATCTTGTAGTGTACTGCCTATATTTTCATTTGGAAGTTTTAATGATTGGATTTTTACATTGAGGCTTTTGATCCATATAGAGTTGATTTTCTTTTTTTGTGCAAGGTGATAAAAATACTTCTAAATTATTCCTATTTGAATATTCAGTTTTCTTAGCAACATTTGTTGAAGATCATGCATTTTCCCCAGTGTGTATTTTTGGTATCTTTGTCAAATATCAGGTGTCCTCTCTAGTTACATGCGTCTATGTTTGGGGGCTCTGGTTTATTCTACTAATCTTCTTATCTTTCTTGTGACAATTCTATGCGATATTTTATTACTGTATCTCTGTAATGTAGCTTGAAATTTGTCCTCGTAATCCATTAAATATTGTTTCCTTTCTTTCTTTCTTTTTCAAGTTTCTTTTAGCTTTTAGCATTTTTTGTAGTTTTTGTAGTTTCTATTTGTGTGAAGATTGCCACAGGAATTTTTATTAGGATTATATTAACTCTAAATGGCTTTTGGTAGAATGATCATTTTCATAATGTTAATTCTATGGGTTCAAGAGCATTGGAGAACTTGTTATCTTCTAGTGTTTACATCCACTCTTTTCTGAAATTTAAAGTTTGCTCTGTAAATGTCTTTCACCAGGGCAATGGATGCAGGAAGAGGATGATCAGAGCTAGACCTGGGGTTGTGGAGATGGCAGGAGAGAGCTTATTCCTAGGAGAGCTCATGTAGATGTACTAGTACAGATGACCCAGGAGTATGAGTATGCTGCTGGCAGGGGAGATTTTTGGGAGCTCACTAAGTAGGGCCAGTGTACAAGTGTGCTTTTGGAGCTAGGGCCAGGAATGTGCAGATGGCAGGAGTGAACTTAGTTGTTGGAATCTCTTCAAGGATTGTGTGTACATGGGGTTACACAACCAGGTCTAGGTCAGGAGTATGGAGACAACAGGAACTGTATCAATTTTTTGGTGTGTACATTTTATCTTTCCTTCTACTTCTAGAAACTATTTTTGTTTTTATGTTTGTTCTTTTAATTCAAGAATTTATATTTTCTTCCTGTAACTCAGTTGATATGTGTTCAATTGGTATATTTGCAGATACCAGGCTTGATTTGCCTCCTCTTCTGACTACTGGCATTGGTAATGCTCCAGTGAAAATTGAAACAGATTAGTGAAGCTCTAAAAATGACTGTGTCCCTGTGAGGTTTAACACTAAGACAATTTGATTGGCTCTAGAAGTATCCAGACACAAATTTCTTTAAGGGAGTTTCTACATTGGGTTACTTGGCATAGGAAGGAACATCCTAAATGTAGGAAGCCCCATACCACATGGGGTTTGGTTCTAGAAAGATGAACATGGGTAAAATCAACAAGACTTTGCCAATATTCATCACTTTCCTCTTTCTGTTGTGGATGCAATGTGACCATATGCCCCATGTTCCTGATTCCATGTATCCTCCTCTGGTAGATCACCACCTCAATCTGTTTTCTAAAACAAGTCAAATATCTGAAAACCAATCCATTTCTTGAGTTGCTTTTGTCACAGAAATGATGAAAAGTAAATGAAAGTGTCCTTAAATTATCTTGTTGACACAAAATAGACGTGACTATCCTTAGTATTTGGCTTTCAGATGCGATGTATCAACAGAAGTCTGATCCTTGAGGAGGATTGACAAACTGTCCAAAAAAAAAAAAAACCTATCCAGTAGATTCCCTTGGGTTAAGATTTTTTTTTTTTTACCTTGCTTTCTTTGAATAGCTAACAGGGTCTTTTCAGTATATCAGGACACAATTTCTGACAACAATACTTCATGCTTTGGGAAATGAGAGTATCCTTATTGTATCGCAAAGGGTATGATTTCATATTTCCCAATCAGGGTTGTTACCATCTAGCAAGATGATGATCTCAAACTTCAATATTGCAACATTGATTTATGTATGTCAAATCTAAGACTGTTGTTTAGCTGTCATCCTTTATTCCAATGATTATAACCTTAGCTTCAGGGGTCGCCACAATCAAGACTTGTCCCACTGTCCTGATAAGCCAATCAGGACCAAATAATGCTAAAAATACAAGCATTAGATATTATCAGTACATTGTAAAGATGAAGGGTAAATAGTTTCTGTAATGCCAAGAAGAGCATATGGAAGGTCTAGTGACGGGAAGTTTGACTCCTGTGTGCTGATATGACCTTTGGTTTACAGTAGAGAAGTAATGGAGGTGGGAGAGCATGAAGCCTGTATATTAACTATCCCTGGTCAAGATATGGTCTAATTGATCAAAGTCTCAGTTTTTGTTATTCAAGGTAAACTCCAAGCAATCATTATTGATGTTATCTTTATCCTTAAGGGAAACAAACTGGTTCCCCTGAGATTGCTTCTGGTTCAGGTGCAACCTCACCACAAAGAACAATTGCCATGGCTTGGGTATATTCAGTCTTGCAGATTCTCCATTAGTTGGAGACAGTTTATGTTCATTTTCATAAAAATTGCCCATCTAATGATCCTATTATTCTTGATCCCCAAAGGTCCTCCATAAGAGTGGTTAAGAAGGACAACAACTTTGTTGATCAGAGGTTCGAGTCATAGTTAACTTTGGCTAGTGTACTGGGTAGCTCTATGTCAACTTAACATAAGATGGAGCCATCTGAGAGGACAGATCCTCAATTAAGAAAAGGCCTCTATAAGATTGGGTTGTAGGGAGGTCTGTAAGGCATTATTTTAAAGATTAATGGAAGAGGACCCAGTGTATTATGGGTGGTGCTATCTCTAGGCTGATAGCCTGGATTCTATAAGAAAGCAGGCTGAGTAAGGTAAGAGGAGCAAGCTAGTATGCAGCATCCCTCTGTGACCTCTCCAGCAGCTCCTGCTTCCATGTCCCTGTCATGTTCAAGTTCCTGTTCTGAGTTCCCTTGGTAATGAACAGTGATTTGGAATAGGAAACCAAGTAACCCTTTTCTTCTCCAACTTGGTTCTGGTCATGGTATTTTATTGTAGAAGTAGTAACTCTATCTAAGACAGCCTGGTTGCTGTGCCTCCCCTCCACATCTTCCCAAACTGTACCAAACCCTATTGAATGTCAAGTGTGTAACCATGAAAAGATTACCTTTGTAGAGAGGACCTCCAGGACTATGAAAGGCCATAGCCTAGGAGAACATTTACTGCAAACAGTGCAGACAAGCAGGCCTGAGCTCTTGCTCAGCATCTGTCCATTGCTCCTGTACTGTGTACTTATGTGTATCTGCTTTGTCTGTATATAATTCATACTACTTACTTATACTCACTCAAAATTTTTCAACATGTGCCTATTTAAAAATGCTTTTAAACTGGGGATTTAGACAAATCCCATTTGGGGCACCACATGAATAATAAATATGTGTTTTTTTGAACTACTTGATGGTGAAAGTCCTGCAGACAATAGTCTTATTTATTCTGAAAAGGATTTATGTTAGAAGAAAGATCCCTTGGGCATTAAGAAGAAAAATCCTGCCGAAAGCACTTTAGTAAATTATAACTCTTAGGATAAAACATGACAATAATGATTGCTTAAGTAAAAACCAAAGCATAAAACTTCATATACTGTACATAATGCATTTTCAACTTTTCTATTATCCAGTTTGTTTATAGCACTGGAAAAGCTACTATGGGAGATTCATTGGGATCTTAGAAGACATGAACTCATTTGTTCATATATTATTTGGTATATTGTTTTGAACATGAGATGTATATGGTGAAAACATTTAGCAATAGATAAATATTTAGATAAATAGATAAATGTTAGAGAAATAGATAGTTGGTTGCTGCTTGCTATGTGGTTCTTCTTACCAGTTTCCACATTTTGAGAGTAAGCAGTTAGACACACCAAATAATGAGTTAAAAATGTGCCAAATGCATACATTTGTATGCTAACACATGGAAAACTGGTATTATTAACACTGGTTATAATGAAACCAACTGGATGGGTTAACTGCCATGCTCTTCTTTCAACATAACATGGCTGTGTTCTAACACACTTTAAATGAAAGCCTTATAAATTATTCAAACTTAAAGAGTGTACAGCAGTGAACTTAGTACAATGGATAAAATGTGTATGTGCTTGCTTTCCTTAACTGAAAGCACAGATACCAGTATGCTGGGTTAAGGACATAGAGAGGCTACATAAGCTTTAGCCTTCTCTGCTGGTTACACACAAGAGCCTAGCATAACTGTCCTCTGAGAAGCTCCATCCAGCAGCTGACTGAAACAAATACAGAGACCCACAGCCAAACACTGGACAGAGGTCGGGAACCCATATGAAAGAGTTAGTGGAAGGCTTGAAAGTCCTGAAGGGGAAATAAACCCCACATGATGACCAACAGTGTTAACTAAGATGGGCCCCTGGGAGCTCTCAGAGACTGGGCTACCAACCAAAGAGCATACAATGGCTGGACTGAGGCCTCAGGTAGATGTGCAGTTTAGTCTCCATGTGGGTCTCCCAACAACTAGAACAGGAACTAAAAGCTGTTGCCTCTCTGTGGAATCCTTTCCCTTAACTGGGCTGCCTTGCCTGCCTTCAGTGAGAGATGATGTACCTAAGCCTCCAGAGACTTGATAGTCCAGGTGGGTGTAAACACATGGGGCCCCACCCTGTCAGAGGAGAAGGGGATGGGGGATGGAGGGAGGGATTGTGTGAGGGAGGACAGGAAGACAGGGATTGGAATTTAGATTGAATAAGTACAAATCTTTAAAAAAAGAACCTTTATTAAAAACTCTAACCCATCTTCCTATATGCCTGATTTAACAAATTCTGGGATTTTTCTTTCTAATCCATCACTAGAGTTCATTTTGGAATATGTTAGGAACTGACAAAAAAACAAACAAAAATAAAAACAAAAACAAAAAACCTTCTCTGCTTGGATCACTGTCTTTATTAGCAAACAAAGAACCAGGAACTTCCTTTTGTGTCACCTGAGATACAGAACATGGCTGTTTGCAAGCCTGGCAACCGCTCTTTGGAAAATTAGCTTAGTTTGTGTCCCTTTGTCATATTCTCAGGAAATGTTAAATCAATGCAAAATGAGTGGATTCCTATTTCTAAATATAACTTCTTTGCAGGAAGAAGAACTGAGGAAGAGTGGGGAGGCCAAGTATGCCCACCTGAGTGACGAGCTGCATGTATTAATTGAAGTGTTTGCTCCACCTGGGGAAGCTTATTCACGGATGAGTCATGCTTTGGAAGAGATTAAAAAATTTCTGGTTCCTGTAAGTGACTTTTGATTTTACAAATGGTTTCTTATCAGTTTCTATTTTAAGTTGTGTCTTTGACCTCCATTGATTTTTGAAAGGGTTGTTTGGATTTTTGGTGGTTAGCTTCTTGAGTTCTTTATATATTTTGGATATTAGCTTTCTAACACATGTGGGGTTAGTTAAGCTTTTTTTTTTTCTTTTTGTTTTTTCCAATCTGTAGGTTGATGGTTTGTTCTATTGACTGTCCTTTGCCTTATAGAAGCTTTCCAGTTTCATGATGTCCCATTTATCAATTCTTGGTCTTAGAGCCTGAGTCATTGGAGTTCTGTTTAGGAAATCTCCATCTGTGCCAATGAATTCGATGCTATTTAGTTATCTATGTGTAGATTTGATACCAAGCTTAAATGAATAGTGCACACAAGGTACATACTGTAAGACCTGGATTATTGACATTTTCTACTAATCTGACAAAAGTACTCATCACCAGTCAGTTACATAGTATACACCAGTCCACAACCAGCAAGAATAAGAAGAAAAATATACAAGCAAAGATACATTTTTGATGCCACCTGTCCCTGTTTTAAGCCCTTGACATGTATTTTGATAATTTATAATTAGTACAAAATGTTTAATTAAAAAGGGGTGAGATTGAATATTATTTATAACAAAGCATTGATAGTATTTTAAAATAGTAAATGATTTTTATATGACAGTATATCAGGTGCTGATGGGTATATTATAATATTACAATAGCATAAGATTATATTAATGATGATGGATAAATGTTAATCTAAAAATTTAGAAATACAAACTCACTCTGCAGTGTGAGAATAACAGAGGATGCCCACTTACCAATTTGACTGCAAATTTAATAAAGTTCTCTACTGATATAGAGGAAGTAGGGGGAGGTATTGAGTCTTAAAGATGAAAAATGAGAATTCTAGGAAGAGTTCCTTCAAAGAGAACACTTGCCATGAGGTTCAGGGCTGAGATATTAAGAGAATGCTGAATGTTCCCTGCAAGATCTTGGAGAAATCCTGAGCTCAGAGAGTGGCTCCCTGAGATTAATCTACAAATGAAGACTCTAGAGATCTATATACCCAGTAAAAACTTCAAAGAGTATGTCATTTACAGTTCATTCATTAGTAGAGATATTGAAAATTGGAAAGCAAAAGTATCATTGAATTTTCTAAGAGTAAAAGCATTAAGGTCTAGCCACATTTTCTATTACATGTCTGATCCTAACATTACTCTTTGTCAAGATACAATTGTTTTTATTTAGCTGCCTGTGCATACTGTTTATATTAGACAGCACAGCTCAACAGAGAGCTCTCTTGCATATTCCCCACCCCTATTGAATTTCACACTGAAATGTGTCAGTTTATAATTAAGATTTTTAAAGTTAGGGAAAAAATTAAAAAATATAAATGTTTTTGTTATCCTCACCCTGTGTGTGTGTGTGTGTGTGTGTGTGTGTGTGTGTGTGTGTATGTATGTATGTGTGTATAAACAAACCTATAATCCAATTTGAGTCTACTTGATTTTGAGATTAGTAATTATTTTACTCTGCTTTTTTGAATTTTTAAAAAATTAACATATGTTTGCAATTTGTTTTCTGCTGCAAGATAGAAATATATTCATTTGATATATAACTGTTTCTCGTATTATTCATTTCCATGTGAACACTTACAGTAGACCTATATATATATGATTGTTTTCCTATCCTCCAAAGATACCTATTGTTAAAAGTTAAAGTCATTACTGACTTTAGAAATCCCCAAATCATCTTAGGCTAACACAACAGCTTTGTACCCCTTCTAGGGTAAAAGTGTGGAGAATCACATTTCTTCATCAGTCACAGGTTCTGTGTCATCAGGTGTAAGTGCACTAGATATCTTTGGCACCACAACAGTCAGAAGATACTGGGAAATAAACATTTTATTTTACTATAGTCAAAGTACTATATAAACCAGCAAAAATGTAATCATGAAACAATTTTATATATCAAATACGTACAATATAAAAAGTAGCTTTAAAAAGTGGTTACTTTTGAGTGAGTGTAAGAAAAATTGGCAGTTTGCTTGCATGCTCTCTACAAGAGGTTGAACTCTATGGAATTCATTGCATTGTGGAAAAGGTTGTTTGGTTTTTATTGTTTTGTATTTTAATAAAGATTTATTTATTTAAAAAAAGAATTTTCTAAGTGTAAAAGCATTAAGGTCTAGCCACATTTTCTATTACATGTCTGATCCTAACATTACTCTTTGTCAAGATACAATTGCAGAATAATGCCACTCTAAGTTGAGTATTTCTTAACTTTATGTGCACAGTTACTATTTGGATCTCACCATCTGGAAATCTTCCTAAATGTATTTCATTCTCAAGATTAGTGATCCTATGTTCCTTCTTCCATTGGTTTCCAAGGGTATATTTAGTATGAGGCTGAGTAAGGCATTTTACTCAATTTAGTTGAGAATAGACCAGATGCATGTGTGTGTGTAGTGAGGCCAGGCCTGCTTATATCACAAACTCATTGTATATTAAGTTACTTAAATGTTTATAGCATCAGTTTATAGATATTTAAAGTGAAAGTGACCATAATGTATCCAGCCACAACCGTTATAAATATTAAATGGGATAATGCACACAAGGGGTATTAAAATAAGAAAGCACTTAATAAATTTATTTTTTTAAATCTATTATTGTAGAAAAACTATGAATGACTTTCTGAGTAAAAATGTATTAGACATAATAATATGTATCTTTTTTGTTTGGATATATATTCTTTCCTCCCTTTAAACTTTCTCATATACTTCTCTCTGATCTTCTTCAAGTTCATGGCCTCTTATTCACTAATTGTTATTTTATTCCTAAATAGCACCTTGTTAACCAATATACTGTTTATTTTAGTATATCTTTGGATGTATTTTGAACATAGAATGCATGGTAAGACCATGCCCTCGTATACTAAATGTAAATGAATGCATCACTTTCTTATATGTCATACCTTGTAACCAATTGATTTCTATTTTATGCACTGCAACATAAATGCTTGACATAGTTGGCAATTTATTTCTGGGATAACGTTGTCTCTTCTCCATTTAGCACACGTTTTTCCTCAATTTCCTTAACTCTGTAACCCTTTTATACAGTTATTCATGTTGTGGTGGAACCCAAGAACAAAATTATTGTCATTGCCACTTCATAACTGTGATGATTGTTATGTAAATATCTGTGTTTTTTGATGTTCTTATGCAAGCCCTGTGAAAGAGTCACTTGACCTCCAAAGGAATCACAGCCTACAGGCAGAGAATGACAGCTACCACCTTTGTTAACAGTATTTGTCAGAAATGACTGAACTTAATTTAACAGAAAAGCACACAAGGCAAATGCAACCAGGTCACATTTTTAATCCATGGTCACCATTTAAATAGGAGCTCCACCTTGCCCCTTGCCATATTCATGATTTCTGTTCTGTAATCCAGTTGTCCCCTCCTTGTGTTCTTACTATTATTTTTTATTTATTTATTTACTTTTTGGCTTTTGCTTATGCAACATAGAAACTCACTGCTAAATCAAGAGCCTTTGAAGTTTCTTCTTAAAAAACTAACATGACTATTCCCTTCCCTTTTAGCCTCTTCTCAAGTCTTACATATGTAAGAACTTCTTCAACTCCAAATCTAAAGTTAGTTCCTCAGTTGCCTTCAATCAGGCAATGCTGTTGTGACAGGCCCATAACATCACTAATAACTCTATTCAAAATAGTAATTCAATGTCCTTATCCTCTTTCCATATTTACTTCTATAATATATATTTTTTGTATTTAGATCTTATATAGGAAAATAGGGAAGAAGATGATGGATAGATGATAGAGATATCAATAGATAGATAGATAGATAGATAGATAGATAGATAGATAGATAGATGGATAGATGATAGATACATATATAAATAGAGCCCTTTATGGCTTGTTTCCCTGTTAGAATATTAATTCTGAGGACTGTGGCTATGAACCTCTCCCTTAATACTTTTTATAGGCTATACCATTTGTGATAGTCCTTCTGACTGACTTTGTTTACCTCTTACCTTCCTTAGCTCCTTAGCTGCCTTAGATCAGGCAAAGAATAGTATCTGTCTATGGTATGTATCACCAGAATCACAAACATATATATATATATATATATATATATATATATATATATATATATATGTGTGTGTGTGTGTGTGTGTGTGTGTGTGTGTGTGTGTGTATTTGTGTGTATTTGTGTGTGTATGTGTTAGATGATTATAGCATAACAAGACATCAATATTTATAAACACCAGAGGTGACAATTCAGATCAGCAAGATGAATTATAGAACAATTCAGAAGACTTATTCATGCTAGAACAACAATGCTCAACTGGTATCTTCTTCCTCTGTAAAACTATGTCTTTCCATCATAGGAATTGTTCATCTTTTCCTTATTATATTACGTATAATTACTAAACCTGATCTATGCCTAGAGGCTAAAGTCATCAGAAATACCAGTATGAGTGCAGCTAATTCCTTATGAAATATCTTAATGCTTTAGGATGTAAGAAATCAACTTACTTTCTTCAATTGAATTAGGTGTTGAAGAAACCATTGTTGAAGGAAGGTGTTGAAGAAAAATTGACTAGTTACTGAAACTAATGTGAATGATTCTAACTTAAAATCTATAATGCTCTAATCAGTAAAAACTTATTACTCTGAACATTCCCAACTTTAAATTCTTAATGTTTTAAGAATTAGCTCTACCAAAAATTATTGTTCATGAATTTGCCTTAAAATAGAGATTGATAATGTAGAGTAAATACTCTAATTCTAAAACTATGTAATTTATGCTTCAGTGAGGAACTCATATCCATTTTCCTCCTTACACTGGAACAACTGGATGTAACTGGCCACTATTCTATTTCACAGTGTTCCTTTCTTGAAAAATTTAGATGTTAAGACACCAGCATATTTTGAGTGGATGATGGCTTGTGGAACTTTA